AATAGTAATCGGGTTCTAGAGGATCTCAATATCACTGACTACCCTCAATCGGTCATAATTCCAGTTTAGCAACCTTTTCTTGCAGCCGGAATCATCGCGAGAGTTTATTCTCAATGAGTGTAGCATACTGCTACTGTTCTATGGCCAAGTTGGTCAATTTAAGGTTTTAAGGTCAGTTGGTGCTTAATGACTCCTTAGAAGACCCATATTCTCCTCGTTCCAACACAAGGGATATCGGTACAGACTAAGGTGCCACACCAATGTATCTACTGCTTCATCCGTGTCGGTCTACACCGGACAGATCCCTCACAGTTTATTGCTACTTACCTAAAGCGTATCCCCAGATCCAGGTTAGGATCTATAGAACTCTGATACAAGCCCACAAAATTAAAGCATACAAAGCATACAATTGAAAACATAGTGATCTAATCCTAAGGTACACCTCACTCTTAATATTCCCCAGCAGAGTCGCCAGTTATATGATCGGTGGGAATAGAACTGACTGTTTTGGAATGTTAGTCCGTGTTTTGCGTTTTGTTTTCGCAAAATGTCGCGGTAAGCAAGAGTCGCCACCGTCTTTTATTTTATCCAACAAGGAAAGGACAAAAGCACAGAAAAATTCCTTTTTGAGATGTTTCTCGGGTTCGGGAGATAGATTATAGAAAGGGAAGGTGTTAGCACCCTTTCTATCTGTGGTTATCCACGGGCTCTTAGGTGCTTGCTCATTATGTTTTCAAAAAAGTTTGTTTTTCTTTGTGTTTGTGGTTTTGAAAAGAGTTTTGTTTTGAAGAGAGTGTAAGTGCGAAAAGCTTTATTTTGTTTTAAAAGGAGCAAGTACTTAAGAACATCTACCTACTCAAAAAGGAATTAGACTGTGCAAATGTCCTTTAGACAGTGCTATCCCACTATTGAGGAGTAGGTAGCACCGTCGTTGGAGTTTTCGGGTCAATTTGATTAAGGGACATGTGGTCACTAAAGCAATGTTAGGATGCCTTAGTGCTAACCCTAATGTCTTAGATCATTTCATCCGAGGCAACCGTTTCGAGGCAACTTATGATCTCTGGACAAGAGGGCGACCTCTAAAACTTCCTATACTCAATGACCACGTTCGAGGCAACTAAGTGAGGTGTACCCTAAGAGTGACATGTGCAAGTGTGTCAATTTTCAGTTATTTATCTTTGTACATGTTAATGGTGAGCTACTGTTGATTTTAAATTAAAATTGGTCTTGTCATGCATTGCCTATTATTCAAACATCTAACAGTTAATGGTTGCGGAAATTAAATTGCGGAAAATAAATCTAAGCTATTACAAGGCGTCGGGTATTTACATCGCCAAAGACAAACCCTTTTAAAATTAAATTGCGAAAAATAAATAAAAGCGATAAATAAATAAATAAAATCCTAAGTTTAAAACTATTACATTCTCGAAGCAGTTACAATACTGAAATATGGATCAAAAATAATTTACGCGCGAGAAAATTAAATCGGAGTGTCTTAGGGTTTTGACCTTTTTTATTAAATAAAGCATATTTTGGTTATTTTTTGAATTAAAAGTTAGTCTAAGTTGATAATTGAATTAATTAATTACATGAAAATATTTTTGGGTTTTTATTTTAATTAAGGAAATAAAATAAGAATGGTTAAAAATATTAAAAACCTAATTCTAAATTAATTTTAATTTATTGCAAAAGATATTAATGTTAAACCTATTTAAACTAAATAAAATTAATTAATGTTTATTTATATAAATAAATAATAAAATTAATGGAATTAATAAAAATATTATTTTTGTGGTTTCTGATTTTTTTATGAAAAAGTTAATTGGTTAATTAATTAATTTTTAATAATAATAATAATAATAAAATAAATAAATAAGAAAAAAAAGAAATAAAATGTAAAGGAATACTCAGGGGGGTGTGGGCCTGATCTGGGAGCATGGTTAGCAATTTTTGAGGCCCATTAGCGTCCAACCTGTTTGACCTTTGTGGTTTGCTATGCGTGCGTTGACCTGAGATCATGGTGATCCCTTATTCATGACCACCAGATTTGGCCTGAAGACCATATGGCACGTTGATTCTTGAGGCGCATGGTGGTCCTCATGCTTGGAGATTCATTGGAATAGCTGCAAGAGTAATAAGCATTTTGGGGGACCTGGGATTCGAACCCAGGTCCCAAGGGGTTTTGCAATAGCACGCTCACCAACTCATCTACGCTGCATCTTTGTTAGTGGAATAAGAAATAAATATAATATATGAAACAATGCACTAAGCCTGAAATAATAAAAAAGAGCGCCACTGATTTGAATGGACCAATAGCAAAGGGACACGCTATCGTCTTCTTCAAATAACCATGGTTATTTACCTGCAGATTTTTATCCGCAGGAAGTTTCATAGGGTATCCCAAAAATCTTCTCCAGGCCATGTAAACGAAACCTAAGAGTACCAATGCACTCGTCTCTTCCTCCTGGTTATCCCTGTAACCATTATTTGGCCCAATTTTCCCTGTAATTCAAACACCAAAAACAACACAATAAAACCCTAGGTTCGGGTATATGATTATAGGCCATGAAAACGAAATTAAATGATGCAGACTTGTTAGAAATTTGATAAGGATCAAGATTATGCCAATAGTTTATCAAAAGGATGCAAGAATGAATGGTTTCAATTTCATGTTCAGAGCCGTTTTCAAGAACACTTACAACGCTTTTCAGATAGCTTCAGGCCTTGGCTTTGGTTGCTATAGCTTCAGGAGGTTGCTGGCAAGAGAGCTACGTTGTGATTTTGGATTGAATTGGCCTCCAATGTTGATTTCGATCTTCACTTTTTCAAGCTTTTTCTCAAACTTCTTCTGGCTGTTTCAGCAGTGATTTTGTGCGTATGTCTGGTCTGCCTCTCTTGTGTGCATATAATAGAATGTCTTTAGGTCAAAACTTGGGCATAAAACCATATGCATTGAAGAATCAAGATTTGCTTTTGATCACCATAATCAAGTTGCCATATTTGCATCAAATCTGAGATTTTGTGCTTGTTTTGACTTGGCACGAGTTTGATTGAGTATCACATGATATTTGCAAGCTGTAATGATCACAAGAATCCCCTTAAATCAATTTTTAGATTTTATTTGATTTAATATTGATTTAAAATGAATTAAATCAATAAAAATTAAATAAAATAGAAAAATAAATGAATGGACATGAAATCAAATATGGGACACGTGTGTGGCATGACAAGACTATATCAAGTGGAAAAAAGTGGGCCCTTTTGTCAAAAATTGGAGTTTTGAGGATAGTTGACTTTTGGCAAATTTGGAAAAATTCCCAACTTCAACAATGCATAACTTCTTTAATTTTGAACTTTTGGAGGTGTTCTTGGACTTTTTAGAAACCTTGAGATGTCCTATAATCAACCCTTTTGGTCTCATCTCATTTTGATGTTCCATTCTCACGTTATAAGCTTTGGCAAAAAAGATGTTTTTGTTGACTTTCAAAAATGACCTATAATGTCCAAATTTTTAACTTTTTGTGAGAGCATTTCTTGATCCTGGGGTGTGAAGATGGATTGTAAGAAATTTCATCCTATTCAAAATGAGCTTTGGTTGGGTCATTTATCATAAAGTATGAGAAAGTTATGCTTGGTCAAAGTTGAGTTGACTTTTCCTATAAAACCCTAATTTAGCAACTTTTGAATCTTGATGAATCTTGAGCAATCCTTGATGAATCATGATCAACCCTTGATAAAATGATGAATTAACCTTCAAAATGAGAATTTTGACAAAAAATCTTGAGGTTTGACTGTTTGTAGGTCACAATTGACTTTTGCCCTAGCACAGTCGATCTTTGGGCCTCTTGAGCAATTGACTGACCAAACTTCCTCTGCAAGGCTTGAAATTTGACATGGATGAACTTAAGAACATATTAAGACATTGGGAAGAACTTGAGGCCATTTGGATATGAGGACCTTAATGCAACTCAAAACCCTAATTTGAGATTGACTGCCTTAAAAAATGACTTGACTGTCCATCCTTGAGCCAACTTGAGCAACTTGAAGATCATTCTTGACAAATCTTGAGGAATATGGGAGGGAAAATTTTGGGGTACAACAACTATGATCTTGTATTTGCTTGTTTTTACTAAGATACCTTACATGCGTAATATGGCCATTTTGTATAAGGCAACCAAGTGGGATAACCCTAAGGGTGCTTGTGTGCAAGTGTATTGTTTTCATGCTTGATTTAGTCTTGAATTAGGGTTTTGCTAAGTATTGATTTTAGTCTTTCCATACAAACCATAATTAGTAGCATTGTATATATGAAAGCGATAAATTGCAAAATTTAAAGTTACTACGCTATTACAACATTTGTGGGGAAGGGGATATACAATTTGTAAATGGGGATTGCAAGAAATTAAACCATAACTAGTCTATTACAACCAAATTGAATTTATATAAATGTACAAGAATTTAAATGGATATAATGTACAAAGTGAAATAAATGTATGGAAAAAAATGCCAATGTTAAGAAAATAGATATTTTTTTAGATTTTTATGAGAAAAGGTTTTTTTTTTTGTTTAACCTAATTAATTAAAAGAAAATATTTAATTAAAATAATAAAAGTAAACCTAATTTAATAAGAAAATATTTTAAATAAAACCCTAAGTTTATTAAATGATTAAAATAAATTAAGTTTAAGAAAAGTATTTTTGTCTTGAAAATAATATATGGTGTTGTAAAATATTTTTTGGCCTTTTTTATATTAAAATAAATATATTTCAAACCTAAAAACAAGACTTTGATAGTCCACAAATCAGACTTAGACTTTGAAATTTTTAACAGATCAGACTTAGACTTGACAAAATCTAGCTCGACCTAACATACCCCTAGTAGCAACCCATCGTTAAAAAGTGATGAGAAAAACTAGCGATTATTATTCAATGCCATAAATATGATCATAGGAGACAAAACCAAAAAGAGAGATTAAATCATGAAGTAAAAGGAAAAATTCTCAGTCATTCTTTCTAGCTAGTTTTAGTAATTTTATAACATTTTCATAAACAATAAATGTTATCGAAGAAGCAGGAACGTTTTTCAAGAGGTTTGGCGTGATTCCCTTGTAAAAACCTCGGACACTTTCAAATCTGCAAGAACAGAACATGATCAATAATACACAAAAGATTGGTTCAATTTGAAATTTTCAAGAGCATATCAAATATGAATTATGGATCACAAAAGTAACATTAGTCTTCTTTATAATTCATTAGCAGGGTTACACGAGTCCGTCTATTGTGTTGCCAAGGTCTAAGAAATGCAATTACCAGTAACATGTATCATACTATCATTCTTAACCCACTTCACCTTTGCTTGCTTGTCAATGAGAAGATGCAAAATATATCTAAATGGATTTAAATAAGTACCGGGCAGTTTCTTTCACAACATGCCAGCTGTCCATATATCTTGGTATCCCATTACCACCGGGTCGTTGCTGCAGAAAAAAAGAAGTTTCAGTCCAGTTTTGAGAAAGATACACAATTAAAATAAGCACTATGTATTATCCCTATCCTTGTAACCACACTCTGATACCTGCAATCGAGACCGGATAACCTGAAAAAAGAAGAGGAAAAAAAAGGCAGTATGCCATATGAGAAAGCTACTTCTTTGAGGATTGATATATTATGTTCAAGAAAACTAGAGTCCAAATCTTTCTCCTTCAAAAGTCAAAGGGGGGGTTGTACCTGAAATGGATAGGTTAGGAGTATTGCAGCAACTTTTGATGTTGCTCCAAGAACAGCATAATCAACAGAATTCTGGGTAAACAAATAAAATATCAAAAAATCGCAACTAAAATATCAAATAATCAACAGAATCTTGGAAAATATCTTGAGCATTTGCACATAACATTCAAATCAAATAATATATAAGCATAGTAGAGCACTATAGCAGAATGCTAAGATAACAGGACTCAAAATATGTCTCAAAAAGCCATGAGCTTGTCACAAATGAAATATAAGATATGCATAAAGCTACATTTCTCTCATTTAAGATGTCCTAGAATTCAAAGTAGCCATTTAAGCAACTTAATAAAGCCTTTTAAGCAACTTAATAAAGCCTTAAAGTCTACAAGAATGGTTGGTATAATATTTCAATGCATTAATTTGAGCTTATTAAGAAATTTTGCAAAATGGTTTGAATGCACCGATGAAAGAGTCAATATAATTTAGTTTCCCACATATTAAAAATAAATTAAGTCACAAATTTTTTCACTCTCGTGGTTATGTAGTTATTTATATATAGTGATATTTGCATTGACATTTATATATAGTTATGATCTAGTCAAAATACTAGGTATTCACTATCACATATACAAGGAACAACCATGGGGGATCATGATTCTGGAAATGTGCCACTTTTCTCTACCAATCTGGAACAACGATGTATGGGAGCAAGAACTCAGTGATGTACAAGTAACTCAAACGGCCAATCTCCAAACAATCATTTAAGAAATGTAAATAGTCCAGTACATGGGAGGTATCAGATTTAAATAGACCAAAAGTCCACTAACTTACCAAGAGTTGATCAGGGTTTTGATTTTGTATTTCACTTCTCTTGCTCTTAAAATCAACAATAGTTTTGCGCAGCTCTTCGTAGGCTGTGAACTGAATAGCGCCATGAGAGACCTGCTGAAGCACAAAAATTCAAGCAAGCTCTCTATAAACAACAGAAAGACAGTATCATGCAGGAAGACAATAACATGCACGATTTTGTCAATACATAATATAGCCAGCAGCCATCAAATTTTTCAAAAAAAAAAATGAAAATCATGTGACCGAGCTCTAGACCTCTATCATTATAATGATAGAGGTCGTGAGCTCGGTCACGTGATTTTTAATTTTTCTGTAAAACAAGAGTTTGTAATCTATTTTTAACACAGAATATGAGTGATTGCTGGAGACGAAATAACTTGGCCAAGTCATACAATGACATGTTAGTGATCACGAGACAATCACATAACAAATGAATAACATATAACAGAAATCGAATGAAGTTTCTGATAGTCCATGGATTTAATTGGCATAATCACATTCTAGAGGTCTAGAGTTCGGTCACGTGATTTTTTTTCCTGTAAAACAAGAGTTTGTAATCTATTTTTAACACAGAATATGAGTGATTGCTGGAGACGAAATAACTTGGCCAAGTCATACAATGACATGTTAGTGATCACGAGACAATCACATAACAAATGAATAACATATAACAGAAATCGAATGAAGTTTCTGATAGTCCATGGATTTAATTGGCATAATCACATTCCTAATGGCTAGTTGCAACAAACATTATGTTCACTGAAGATTGAAAAAGAAAGACCTTTGTCTTTATCTATACACAATCCCACATATTATATTTAATCTTTTATTAAATTTTAAGTGCCAAGATCGACAAAAATAACAAAAGCAAGCAACATACCAGAAAAGACCAGGAACACTTCCTCTGTAAAGTGCACTAAATCCTTCTTCCCACATAATGGACCTAAATGCATGACTGTTTTAATTTTAAAAGATGAAATTTCATGAATTGGTTAGCAAATCATATAATGTTGAGTTTGTGTATATATGATAGAATATAATAGCCAGTTCATCACAATTGACAAATTATGCTAACATGTGTTAGTGACCATGTGAAAATCAGACGATAAACTAATTCCGATTGTAATTTGTCAGTAACTAATTGGAAGGATCTATTGTGAGGTTTCTGATGGTTAATGGGTTTAATTGGCAGGTTGGATGAAGAGTTCGTAGTGGCTAGTTGCAATTGGATCGGCGTTAATTATTCATTGATTTTTTATCTCTTTTTCCTTTAAGACCTTGAATATTTATTTAAGCTCAACTCCACACATTATAATTTTAAGGGCCAAGATTGACAGGAAAGATAACAAGAGGCAGCAACATACCAGAAATAGACCGGGAACAATCCCTCTGTAAAGTGCACTAAATCCTTCTTCCCTCATTATGGTCCTAAATGCATCTGATATTTGATTTTACAGATAAAAAAAATGTTATAAGAAATTTTATGGCTGGTTAGCAATTCGTATAATAGTGAATAAAAAATTTTATGGCTGGTTAGCAATACGTATAATAGTGAATATACAAACAATACGCAAAATATACAGTGACTATCATGGTTTAGCTTTTAGGCAGCTGAAACTTGAAAGGATGGGATGAATTAGTATGCTTAATACCGAGTAGAAATTAGTTACTGAATATAAATAACACATATATTGATATAAATATAAAATTTCCCACAACCTTTTTTTGGATAAGAAGGACAAATGTTCCACCAAATACGGTGATTCCAATGAACCAGTCAGTGAAAATAAGCTCTCTTTTTCAACATATCAATACTAATTTCAAGCTCAATTTGGCTAAGGTGATTGAGATTAAGAAAGTCTACACGTAAAAGATAATATTTAAGCTATTAAACTATAGCTAACCTCTAGAGCCAAAGTACAAAAGACATGAACAAAACAACAACAACAACAACAACCAAGCTTTATCCCACAAAAGACATGAACATCGTGAAAATTAACCCAAAGTGAACAGTTCAGAATATAAAGCTAGTGTAAAAGATGGAGAGTAGACCATATAACCCAGAGTAAGGCCGTGTCTGATGAAGAGGAGTCTGAAGCTGCAATCTTGTCTTCACTAGCCAAACAGGATTTGTGCATAAACAAACCTGACAATAGGTGAAGGAAATCAAAATGATTGTAGGTTCATGTTTGACCCCATTCAGGAATGTGCTGCAATATGTTTGGTTGGTTTTGGAGCACTATACATCCAACTATGAAAGCTAAACAATATCTCAAATACATGCACACAGATAAGAAAGTAGTAGAGTTAAGTATGTTAATTACATAGTCGCTACTATTCAAGCAACAGCTATCATTTGGAAATATATCTAATACAGTTTTGCAAAAAGCACTTCATTGTATCATTTTTGTCACTCTTGAGCCCGACATAAACAAAAATATAAAATGCAAAAACCTAGGGAGATGCTGAAACTTTACTCAAAGCTGCGACAACAAATAATTACAAAACGCTAGCAGGTTTGAACAACACATTCTCTATCCAAATTCCTTAATATGAATTATAAGCGTGGATGTCCATTCATAACATTGTATTTTTGAACACTCACCAAAGCTCCTGCTTCCGCAGCTGAGGCAAGATGAAGACCTGGGCTCAACTTCTCCTCTCTGCTCCTAGCATATCTTTGTTTAGCTTTGTCATAGCTACAGTTGAAACAAAACAAAAAAGAGATGGAATGATGGTTTTGGTCTTCAAGGAAAGCAACCAGAAAGTGAAAAAATTACGGTGTTAGATGAAACTACCATACAGGGTTCTGTCGTACAAACACATTGATGCTGAAAAGAAGTCCTTATCTATTAATGAATAATGAGTGTCATGCATGTTTTAGACCAAAAGAAAAACAGAATATTTATTTTCTATCATGACGTACAGTAGACTACAATATATTGATTAGGCCCTGATTAAGAAAAATAAGATATGCGTATGTGAAAGAGAGGAGAGAATCATTTGCACTAAAGACATCTTAAATCCTGATATAATATCACTCTCTCAAAGCGAACGTAAAAATGAGAGATTAAAACTTTACAAAATACAATTATCTTTGATAATTGAAATTGCTACTTACAAAAAGAAATATAAACCCCAAGATATAGTTGAGCCAAGAACCCCAGGAAGAAAGCCTGCATATAGCCCTCTTAATCCCTGCAAAACAAATCACAGAACATTAGTAACACGTTCTGGTATGACATGCACAAAGTACCTAGAGCAGAAGTTTCTCTCTGATAGAACTGGTTGAAATTTAAATTAGATACTGAAAAGTCACAACAGTTATAGCACATATAGTAGTAAATAATCTCCGGTAGCAGTATAAGTGGGATGCGACAATTATTTGATACAAAAGATAGTTTAATTGCAAATTTTAACTATAACCGTAATTAGGTCAGGTAACTAAACACAAACCTCGGTGCGAGTAATGGTGAAAATTGCGTGAGCGGTGTTCTTGTAACTGGGAAGATGAGAAACTCGACCATCGTTAACTGCGGAATCAAATAGTGCGTCAGAAGAAAATTGAATACAATGTAGGGAAAAATTGAAAAACGAAATTGATTTAGATGAAGATCAGAAGGAACCTTGAAACCTAGTTCGGACAACGTCGAGGGGATGCATGACGGCGACGGTGGCGAATCCGGCGGCGGCACCAGCGATGGCGTTCTCCCATTGCCAGTGCTCGCGCTTGAGGGATTCCGTTGACATGTGAGAAGATTTGAATTTCAGATTAGAATTGGTTTAATAAGAGATTGAATGGAAAAATGGAGTACGCGAAGGTGAAAGCTAAAAAAATGCTTTTGTTCTTCTCTTTTCTGGGATCACTTCTCAAACTAGTAATCTGCCTTATCACGTGCAACGTTTCTTCAGAGATACTTTAAAATTTTTAAGTAATGTTATTTTTTCAACACCATTTTTGTGCAGTTATTTTTTAATAAATTTTTTTTTAGAGAAGAAACGCATGAACGCATATGTACCATTGATTATACAATAGGCTATCAATGATTTGTAGCAAATGCATAAATAACCGTTTCCATTTTCTTAAAAATGCTGCCACGTAGTTATTCTTGCCTTTCTTGCATGATTTTCTTCGTAACAAATAGGATGTTTCTGTTAAATGGTAGATTTCCAACAGTTTCTCTAATATATATATTATAAATACTTTTTTTATGTAAAAAAAACATTAATGTTAGATATTGGTGTAGGAAATGAGTGTGTATATATATATATATATATATATATATATATATATATATATATATATATATATATATATATATATATATATATATATATATATATATATATATATATATATATATATATATATATATATATATATATATATATATATATATATATATATATATATATATATATATATTTGTTATGATTATGAAAATAACAATATTTTTTCAGTTTTATTTCCACAATAATCATATTCTCACATAACTTTCAAAGTAGTTCACTTTCAAACAAATAAAAAATTAGAACGAAGAGGTGTTGTCTGATGAATTTGCGTCTTCATTTAAAAAATAAAAGGTGTCGCCAATTGAATTGGCGACTACATATGGTTTTGCCAATCCAATTTGTGACTGCATGCATTGCTTAAGAGGTGGCGCCAATTCATTTGATGCCTTTCTACAAGACCTAAGTAGAGGCGCCAATTTATATGGCTATTATGTGTTGGATGCTTTTTTTTAGTATAAATAGAGGTTCCTTCCTACAGTTTACTCCACACCTCTTCTCATATTCTTTTTATCTTTTCCTCTCTTACTTTATCATGATTGTTAAAAGAAATGGTATGTGTGTTATTCGAGAACGAAGCCTCCGATGAAGATGTGTTTTTGGAACATTCAAAGTTTCAAGCAACTTAAAAGGAATTTTAAATGTTGGTTAGACAGAGAGATTAATGATGGGGAAGAAGTAGAAGTGTCTAGAGGCTTGTTTTGTACATCTTAATTGCAGATGAAAATAATATCATGCACTGTATATGGATGCGATTTAAACATGATAATGATGTTAGGGATATGATGTCTGCACCAAATGATGTTGTTTTGATTATTACAGTCTCTTAGACATGTTATGGTGTTAAGTATTTTTATTTGTTATTTGTTTTGTTGTTTTAGGCGTGTTTATGTCCGTGTGTCATTTATGTTCTAATACATGTGTTATTTTGGAGACCATTTTTCTTCCTTCGCATACTTTTGTTGTGCTAAATTATGTCCCCTTGATATGTAGGCCAACAATCCTCCTTTACTACCACCGAGAAGTTATTGTTGTACACATTAAATACACATATGACTTTGTAAACAGAGGATAAATGCTTGGAAGCGTCATGACGAGCATATGAACATGTCGCTATGACATGGGAGCAAGGCATACAGAAGGCTTAAAACCTGCCATAGTCGCACCAACCTCTATTTAGTTTGACCCAATAGTATCCCTTTGGTCTCCCCACGTTGTAGTCCATTGTTTCTTATATACTGAAAGTGTATCTATGAAGGTCAACAATTGTAACCACATGTGTGCTAACTTTGATAGTTTCCTCCTTCATCACTTTCATGCAGCTTTCACTGAACAATTGTCCCGACTGTAACACCAAACTCCAATTTTGGCCTCTGATTGCAAACAATGATCCCAACCTAAAATATGTTGCTCTCACCAACATAGTTATTAGTAGGTTTCTAATACCTTTGAAGACTGATTTCATCGACCACAAGGTTTGTTGTCATGTGGCCCCATCGTCAACCCTCATCAAATGCCCTAGTCCACTTCTCCAATGGAATATTATCGATCCACCTTAATGCATCTGCATTTGAAAATATGATTTCATCGCAGTATTGTTTGAATGTTGGTTGATTTAAAGTGTACCCCGTGTTGGTGACCATGTGTGAATCATGTGAGACCTGCAAAGCATGTGAATCCTGTAACGCTTATGTTGCATGCAGCCTACGCAACCTATAAAGCATATGAAACCTACATCGTCACCAATCTAATTGGAGATGGTACTTGAATTTGAATGTGGTTGCCAATTGACTTGGTACCTTACTACTACATGCATGCAAAATTGGATTGCATGCATTGATCACGTATAATTACTCAACAACTTCCTCACCCACATTTCATCACTCTTTTTCCTATAAATAAGACTTAAACTCAGTTCATTTTCATCATCATCAACAAATACTATTCTCTCACAATATCTCATATTTTCATCACCAACAAATATTACTCTCTCGTATTTTCTCACTTGTAAAATGGCTCTATTGAACATGGGGTGAAATGCACAGAGGAACCATCACCAACATTGAGACTTATGTAAGTGTTTATTTCGTTACGATTACAAATATTTTTTTATAACACATTATTTTTATGAAAAAACTTAATTTTATTTTTTTGTACGATCCAACTAAGCTTCGTACTTGTGTCCATGAATATGTCACCCTCGATGTGTTCATTCAACCTTATTTAGAGGTCACCGGTTTTGGACATGTTACCTCAATCATGTCTTACTTTGTTGGTGCTAAGTTTATACTCACTTTACAAGAAAGACAGAGACCTGAATCACGCACATTTTTCTTTTCAACCAATGAATGTACCATGTCATTAAAGGATGTGCACATGTTACTGGATTTACTTATTAAGAGTAAGGTGATCAATTGAAAAATCAACCTTACAAATTCATTATTCAAGGAACTTTTGGGTGTCGACTTGTTAGATAATAACCCAAGAGTCCAATGTATTTTACTTTTGTTCCTTAAATATTATTAAGACGGTTTAACATTATATGGAAGTTCTACCAAAGAAATGAAAATAATTAAAATTAGGTGTTATATTGTGCTATTAATTGGTTCATTATTATTTCTCGAAGGTGGTGGTTCTAGTGTGCATGTTATGTATTTATCCTTATTAAGAAACATAGATAAAATAGGAACATATAGTTGGGGTTTGGCTTGTTTGTTCTATGTTTATAGCATTTTGTCTAAAAATGCAAAGAAAGACACTTCTACATTTTATGGATGCGCCATTTTGTTCCAAGAATGAGATTGGTCTAGATTGTCGTCCCTATAGTCCATCATCAACAACAACTTCACATTCTCATACGTATAAAAGTAAGCTAATAATATTATTTCCATTTACTTAATTTACCCATTATTATTTATAAATAATTCATTTTAACTTCTTTGATTTAGGCGGTCTACTCGTGGTATGACTTATAACTGATGCCCTAGACAGTGCATCACTCAATATCACAATATCTTGGATCATTTAACACCATGAGATGTGTTGCCACTAAATTAATCATTTCACAATAATTTATTTTTAATATTACCCATTTTATAATCTAATTTATTTTTCCTCTACAGCTTACTTGGCAGCCATATATAGGCCTGGAATATCATCATGAAATCAGAGAAAAAGATGCGGCCGTTTGGACTGCATGAACATCGATCATCAAGTTCACCACTCTGGAGAAGCACCATAGTGACCGTGTGAAACTGCAGTTTGGCATGCGTCAACAAATCCCAGATCCTTCGGCGTTTCTCAGAAAATGGCATCATATTAAAGTTAATGAACAATGGGCCTTTGTCGATTGTGGAGGCTTCGCTAAAGTTGAGTGTCGTCAATGGAGGCATCATAGTCAACGAGTCTTATTTGACATTGTGATGCCAACTGAATATAAACTAACTAATAATTATATTGCTTGGTACAAATCAGTTGCAATTTAGTTTTTCTCCGAAGATATGTATTTATATGATCCACACCAAACCACTCACACACGAGAAGCTTTAACGGCTAACCCCCTACATAATTACCAGACCAATTACTCACCACCCCCGACCCAACAAAATTATCAATCAACAAACACTCAAACCCATAACTAATACATGTCAAACACAAACCACAAAACCAAAAGCATATTCCATATCACCACCAACAATATGTTTATTATCAAAACACCCAACATCCATATGCCCCCAACATATCATCCTACCATAGCCATAACACGCAAGAAACATATAACACCAACACTTCCTTCTATCATAGCCAAAACGCCCAAACATCAAAGCATCAAGACATGCAACAAACATGAGGTTACCAAACACCACAAAAATCATTTATTCCTTTCTTAAACGAATCATTCATGCCAATGTTTCCATTCAATCGACCAGGCTGCACACCAATAACCCTATCAACACAACCCAACTACTTCAGCATGGGTTACGAACTCAGCTACAGTGGTGCATCAATGCATACTCAGGACTACTTAGAAATGTAAAAACATATTAGGGAATCTAGGGATGGTGATGTTCTCGCGACCTAAAATCCTCAAACACCTAAGGTGAATCAACCATGAGTGCAACGATTTATGGTAGCTAAGGGGTGTGGAATCGGTGGCCGATATGACCAATTCGGTTGTCTTCATTAATGTTAAAAATATTATCATAGGTAAAGTAATTTAAATTAAATATTAATATTATATATTTTATTTTATTTTATTTTGTTTTAATTAAAAAAATGCATTAACGCACCACGTGAATTGACGCCAACTCTTCCACTTTAAACATAGTCACCAATTGGATTGACTAAGCCTATAGGAGGCACCGATTCAATTGATGACAACTCTTACTTTTTAAATGGAGTCGCCAATTCATCTAGCAACACCTTTACGTTCCAATTTAATTCTGTTTGAAAGTGGATTA